CCATTCGTCATCTCTTCAACACGATCTTAAACACAGTCTCAAGTGATAGCCTTGAACGGAAGTCAACCAAGAGGTACTAGTCTTTTGAATCCAATGATAACGGAAAGACAACTCCTGTAATTTTTTTTCGCTTTGTTCATCGCATGACGTTTGATGGCTGATGCGCTATTAACCAGCAGTAGCAGCAGGGATAGTGATAATTATGGATACGAAACCGCAGAGGAGGAAGCAGATAACATGCCCAGAGCCACTGTCATTCTAATAGATCCTCAACTTCAACTCAGCTTAGAGTGTGAAGAACTGACTGTCTTTAGACGAACTCTCAGGTGCCTTTCACTTTGGTGCCCTACTTCAGCCTGCTTAGTGGAAAGATATCTTTACCCAGTGCTAATAAACGCTCTGCTGACGCTAATAACCGTATCCGATTTTAACTCGATCGCAAACGGGGGATGGAAATCAATAGATATTTACGTTTTCTTGGCCATCGATTTCGGAATGTACTTGAGTCATTTGTTTGGTGTATTCTACTTCCGGTCACGGGATCTCGAAAATAACCTGCTCAATGTTAGATTACAAGTCACCCAAATGGAAGAATTTAGAGCGACTTTAAAACGATTCAAAATAGGAATAATTTTGTCCTATTTCTTTTTGGTCGTGCTAGTATTGTTGTTCTTCAACACGAAAGTTTGGATGTACGGTCGCTTTCAGTGTAACTCTTCATTTAAATTCTTGAAGGGTTTCGTGAATCACTTTGTTTGTTTTCTAAACTATCCGTCTTGTATCTACGGTGTTGGCAACTCTTTGGCTTTATCATGGACCATGTACCTTCTCCACCAGGTTTGTTCTGTTCGTCTACAACAGTTATTGTTGAAATACTTGAGATGGACCGGAAGTGCTGGAGATGCTGTCTATGACCACCTAACCAACTACTCAAGAAAGGTCAAATCTTCCTGTTCACATTTGACAAAATGGTTTGTTACCCATAACATTATATTGATAATTGCTACACCGTTCCTTTGTATCGACATAATTAAGGCATTTCAAGGAATAAAGAAGAGCAACGCCGTTCACACTGGTTTGTTTTTGGGATTTCTGTTGTATACAGTTGTCATCTGGGTATCACCACTCTACTTTGCCGAGCAAATGCAAAATCAAGACGAAGAATTCTGCTCTAGGGTGAACGAGTTCTGTCCAAGAACGTTTGCAGAGCTAGAATCCGAGCTGTCTTCTGCATCCGTACATTTTCCAAACACAAACCAAGTTTGTTACCTTTTTCGCTCGAGAAATGAAGTCAATAAGTTATTAAGCTACTTAAGGAACAGAAAGTCTGGATTTCTGATGGGCAGTTACAGCTTTCAACTTAAGCTGTCGATGGTTTCCGTCTTTTTGGCGATGATTTCTTTTGCGATACGCGTTGTTGGTTGACCCATTGTCAGTAGAGGTTATGAAATCCGGCATACGTCATTCAGAGATATAAAGAACACTGCTGCCGTTTATGTTGGGAGCTCCCTGACCGTGCACGATCCTTTGTTTTCGTTCACGATAAATTGTGTCTGTATAAATAAATAAATAAATAAGTGAATAACACGTTTTTATTGGTCAATAAGATCAAAATAATAGGAATGGTATTGGAGCTTGTGCACCGTCAAGTCCGGCAAAACAGCCACCAAAATATAACAAAGAAGTGTGACGAGCATCTTAACCACTCCACTTTATTAACTATGGTTGATCCGCGTACAGCACCTTACCGTGTTTAAAACAATCGTTCATATGTGAACGTTGTTTTTTTCCTTTCATTAAGGTACACACACAAAAAAATACAAGTTAACTGTAGAAATGTGATAAAATCCTTTATAGATGGATCTTTTATGTACATGTTGATTTCACTACTTTTCTTGTCACTTAAAAAAGTTTAAACACAAAACGGCAAGCCATGTAACTCACAGGCTTTGGGGAAAGGGAATCTCTGAAGTTTTGAAGGCTACCCTTTCGCGCCTCACAAGACTAAGACGTGTAGCTTATCAAATTAAAGTCAGGAGAGTATGGGAGTGGCTCCAAGGCTCTTAGCTACAGCAAGACTACCTACTGTACACTTGTCAAAGCCGTGTCAAGTAGCGTTGGAGTTCGGAAGCTTCGTTTCAAAACGTCACAACAGTAAAGCCTGGATGTTTTTCTCGTTTTGCGACACTTTTTGATCCTCTTGTCTTGTTCCTTTAACAAATGCTCGATTTCTGAAGAAAACAACGGATACAATTGAAAGAGCTGTCTTTGAATTTACCCAAATTCAGCCACTGAAAAGTACTCACAAAACAGAGAGAAAAAAGTAAAGAAAGGTTCAAATAACAAAGCAAATACAAAAAAAGACATGGATGGGCAATTGGAGGTTTTGAAGGCTGTAAAGCCTAACAGTAAAATAAAATACAGTCGAACTTACCATGGGCGACCCCACAATGCCAGGATTTGACGGCTTGGCAGTTAGCCTCGCTTTGAAACAGAGACTTAAAGGAATTTGGAAATGGCCTGAAAAATCTCAAGCAACAGCCTTGTTAAATGATTACCTCTGTTTTTCTTGGTAAGTTGTTCTCCTGTCAGTGCCAGGGATTGTAAGATCATTTCTGCACGTCTGTAAACCGGCTCCTTCTGAGGACAATCACTCTTTTAGGACACTAAACATGAGGGAAAAAAGGTCGTTGAGCTACGGATCGCTCAGTGAAAGACTTTTATTGAAGGTCCTTTGTCCTTTCATCTGTTAGTAAGCAAAGGGTTTAGATTTATGGAAATAGTGGCCAAACTAAAGGACTTTCTGCAAGAATAGCAAACTATGATGTAATACACCAAGCCACTAATCAAAGGCAACTTTACGAGAGAATGGCTCAGTCAATTGCAAGCATGCCCATCTCCCCCAGGCATTTGTTGGGCATTTGTTATTTTGTTTTGGAAAAGCTGCTAATGCCCCACGGTGGGGCTGACCTTGTTCATTTTGTCTTATTATCATTTAATTCAAAAGAATTGCGAAAACACGGGTAAAATTCTGAAAATTAATGTGTAAGATGTCATTTTGTGAAATTCTACATTTATTTTCTCCTGCTCCCATAGGAATTTTTTTGGGTGTTATTACAGATAATTAATTACATCTTTAGCCCTCAGTTTAAATTATTCTGGTACAAGGTTTTTGTCCACTGAAAATTAAAATTACTCACTTTCTGATGGATTACGTCCTCATATCTTTCATAAGAGCTTTTCTTCATGTTAAGCAAAAGAAGCAAGGCTGATTTTACAGTCGGAATATATATTTTTTGTTACCAATATTTCGGAACGCACTGCCTTCCTTCTTCAGAGTACAAACGACTAGGTCAAGCTAAGATGTTACAATTCAAAATAAAGGATAGCGTGTAATATGCTACTTTTATATAATTTGTAAAAATTAAATAAGGAAAAAGTGAGCGTTGAAAGAATTGGAAAACAAAAGCCGTTGAAGTCATGATGTAAAAGAAATTCGAAATGTAAAAATAGTATAAATAAACACGAATGGAAGAAATAAGGAATGTATAACATTTCATCTTTCCTGTTAATACCCAAGGGATCAAGAGTTATATTTCCGACTGTAAAATCAGCCTTGCTTCTTTTGCTTGACATTTTAATTTATAGCTGAATAGATCCTTTATTAGGATCCAGTCCTTCTATTTTGTAACGTTTGTCAACTGAATTTCTACATGTTAAATGTTCAGCAACTAAATATTCATGTGCCTCAATTTAAAGGAGGTTTCCAAGAATCGCTAAGTAGGTTAATTATTTAACAATTAATGAATGAGGCTGAGTACCTTAGGAAGAATTATCCATAATTCTTCATATGATACGAAAGCCGAATTCAATAATTGTTTTAGTATTCATTCAAAATAATTCCTAGTTTAAAAACATAGCTAAAACATGCTTACCTCCATCGATCAGATCGATGTTAAGTTCATCTTCGATAGTGCACGTTTAGGGTTGTTCAGGTCCGCAAATATTCTCCAAACAGCAGATATCGCCCTTCGAGTTGTCTTCTTGCTGTTCTTGTCATGTCTTTAGCTATTATTTCTCTTAGTTCTTACTCTTGGAACGAGTCAAATGTCCGCCATTTTTGTTTTCACAACCAAAACAACTCAACCGCGTCACAAAGTCTTCTCGGTTAACGGTGCATTAACCTGCATTTGACGTTATCGGTTCATTAAACACAAAATTCTTCCAAATCTGGTCATCAGACGGTGGTTATGGTGAATTATGCGTGTGCTTTTAGCCAAGCAGAATCGGGGAAATATTTTGAACGAATAATAATAATAAAGGTTTATGGACATGAATGAGGTACGGCTGATACCTACGCCGTGCAAAATTCGCTTTTATAATCAGATTAGCAATTTAGTTGAAATCGTTTGGATAAACAGTTTAATAAAAATGGAATATACTCTTGGTTAGACAAAAGGCTACGTTAAAAAAAGAATCTAGAAAGATTGTGCGACAGTTACAGCTAAATGTTTGATAAAATATACCTATGAAGTTGATGTAGCATTTTCTAGAATAGTAAACCAACCAGTATTCCGGGAAATCCCCCGCGAAGAAATTTGTGGATTCACTTTCTATAAATGAAAACATTTTAAGTTTTTAAACCGTACCTCTAAAATCAACGGCAACAGTTCTCAGTATATGCCAGTCTTATTAAGCCTCGGAGTTACCATTCGTCATCTCTTCAACACGATCTTAAACAGTCTCAAGTGATAGCCTTGAACGGAAGTCAACCAAGAGGTACTAGTCTTTTGAATCCAATGATAAGGGAAAGACAACTCCTGTAATTTTTTTTCGCTTTGTTCATCGCATGACGTTTGATGGCTGATGCACTATTAACCAGCAGTAGCAGCAGCCACAGTGATAATTATGGATACGAAACCGCAGAGGAGGAAGCAGATAACATGCCCAGAGCCACTGTCATTCTAATAGATCCTCAACTTCAACTCAGCTTAGAGTGTGAAGATTTGACTGTCTTTAGACGAACTCTCAGGTACCTTTCACTTTGGTGCCCTACTTCAGCCTGCTTAGTGGAAAGATATCTTTACCCAGTGCTAATACACGCTCTACTGACGCTAATAATCGTATCCGATTTTAACTCGATCGCAAACGGGGCATGGAAGTCAATAGATATTTATGTTTTCTTGGCCATCGATTTCGGAATGTACTTGAGTCATTTGTTTGGTGTATTCTACTTCCGGTCACGGGATCTCGAAAATAACCTGCTCAATGTTAGATTACAAGTCACCCAAATGGAAGAATTCAGAGCGACTTTAAAACGATTCAAAATAGGAATAATTTTATCCTATTTCTTTTTGGTCGTGCTAGTATTGTTGTTCTTCAACACGGAAGTTTGGATGCACGGACGCCTTCAGTGTAACTCTTCATTTAAATTCATGAAGGGTTTCGTGAATCACTTTGTTTGTTTTCTAAACTATCCGACTAATATCTACGGTGTTGGCAACTCTTTGGCTTTATCATGGACCATGTACCTTCTCCACCAGGTTTGTTCTGTTCGTCTACAACAGTTATTGTTGAAATACTTGCGATGGACCGAAAGTGCTGAAGATGCTGTCTATGACCATCTAACCAACTACTCAAGAAAGGTCAAATCTTCCTGTTCACATTTGACAAAATGGTTTGTTACCCATAACATTATTTTGATAATTGCTACACCGTTCCTTTGTATCGACATAATTAAGGCATTTCAAGGAATAAAGACGAGCAACGCCGTTCACACTGGTTTGTTCTTGGGATTTCTCTTGTATACAGCTGTCATCTGGGTAGCACCACTCTACTTTGCCGAGCAAATGCAAAACCAAGACCAAGAATTCTGCTCCAGGGTGAACGAGTTCTGTCCACGAACGTTTGCAGAGCTAGAATCGGAGCTGTCTTCTGCATCCGTTCATTTTCCAAACACAAACCAAGATTGTTATATTTTTCGCTCGAGAAATGAAGTCAATAAGTTATTAAGCTACTTAAAGAACAGAAGGTCTGGATTTCTGATGGGCAGTTACAGCTTTCAACTTAAGCTGTCAATGGTTTCTGTCTTTTTGGCGATGATTTCTTTTGCGATACGCGTTGTTGGTTGACCCATTGTTAGTAGCGGAGAATGGTTATGGAATCCAGCATACATCAGTCAGAGATATAAACAACAGTGTTGCCATTTATGTTGGGAGCTCCCTGACCGTCCACAATCCTTTGTTTTCGTTCATTGATAAATTGTGTCTGTATAAATAAATAAATAAGTAAATAACACGTTTTTATTGGTCAATAAGATCAAAATAATAGGAATGGTATTGGAGCTTGTGCACCCTCAAGTCCGGCAAAACAGCCACCAAAAAATATAACAAAGAAGTTTGACGAGCATCATAACTACTCCACTTTATTAACTACGGTTGATCCGCGTACAGCACTTTACCGTGTTTAAAACAATCGTTCATATGTGAACGTTGTTTTTTTCTTTTCATTAAGGTACACACACAAAAAAATACAAGTTAACTGTAAAAATGTGATAAAATCCTTTATAGATAGATCTTTTATGTACATGTTGATTTCACTACTTTTCTTGTCACTGAAAAAAGATTAAACACAAAAAAGCAAGCCACGTAACTCACAGGCTTTGGGGAAAGGGAATCCCTGAAGTTTTGAAGGCTACCCCCTCGCGCCTCACAAGACTAAGACGTGTAGCTTATCAAATTAAAGTCAGGAGAGTATGGGAGTGGCTCCAAGGCTCCTAGCTACAGCAAGACTACCGACAGGAAAGCCTGTATTCTCTGTACACTTGTCAAAGCCGTGTCAAGATAGCGTTGGAGTTCGGAAACTTCGTTTCAAAACGTCACAGCAGTAAAGCCTGGATGTTGTTCTCGTTCTTGCGACACTTTTTGATCCTCTTGTCTTGCTCCTTTAACAAATGCTCGATTTCTGAAGAAGATAACGGATACAATTGAAAGAGCTGTTATTGAATTTACACAAATTCAGCCACTGAAAAGTAGTCACAAAACAGAGAGAAAAAAAAGTAAAGAAAGGTTCAAATAACAAAGCAAATACAAAAAAAGACATGGATGGGCAATTGGAGGTTTTGAAGGCTGTAAAGCCTAACAGTAAAATAAAATACAGTCGAACTTCCCATGAGCGATCCCAAAAATGCCAGGATTTGACGGCTTGGCAGTTAGCCTCGCTTTGAAACAGAGACTTGGAAATGGCCTGAAAAATCTCAAGCAACAGCCTTGTTAAATGATTACCTCTGTTTTTCTTGGTAAGTTGTTCTCCTGTCAGTGCCAGGGATTGTAAGATCATTTCTGCACGTCTGTAAACCGGCTCCTTCTGAGGACAATCACTCTTTGAGGACACTAAATATTAGGGAAAAAAGGTCGTTGGGTTACCGATCGCTCAATGAAAGAGCTTATTGAAGGTCCTTTGTCCTTCTATCTGTTAGTAAGCAAGGGGTTTAGATTTATGGAAATAGTGGCCAAACAAAAGGACTGTCTGCAAGAATAGCAAAATATGATGTAATATACCAAGCCATTAATCAAAGGCAACTTTACGAGATAATGGCTCAGTCAATTCCAGGCATGCCCATCCCCCCAGGCATTTGTTGCATGGGCATTTGTTATTTTATTTTGGAAAATCTGCCAATGCCCCACGGTGGGGCTGACCTTGTGAACTCATTTTGTCTTATTATCATTTAATTCAAAAAAATAATTTAAGTTTTATTGAGTATTTTATATATGTAAAATGTTTATGATTGGATTACCATTATAGGCTACAGTAAGCATAAACTTGCAACAAAAAAACATGTTGTACTCCCTGACAAAATTAGAGAGATCTCATATCACACCCCTACTTCCCCATCACGGCCACTATTTTTCAATTTTCAACAACATCTTTATTTCTTACATTAAATATACAAATATTACACCACCTGCAAATAGCAAGGCTAATCGAGGCAGGTGGTGTGTAGACGGCTTAAGATTTATTACGAAAAGTTGAAGTGAAAAAGAACCATATTTATAATAAAAAAGGTCAGTCACGATAGTGGGGCAGATATGTGCAGATTTGGGGCCGGATTGTTCACTTTTTGTTAAAAGCACCAAATTTTCAGGAATGATAGAACTAATTATGACTATTAATATGTGATACGGTGCCATCGCAAATTTTTCCTGTTAAACTGGTTTTTGGAGTGAAAATTAAACTGGCCGCCATTTTGACCGGAAGTAAATATCATCTAACCGAAAGTACACAGAATTAAGCACTTTTTTAAGCCAAAATGACGATGAAAGTGTTTATTATATAAACTAATCGTGGCTATTAATATGTAATATGGTGCCATCGCAAATTTTTCCTGTTAAACCGGTTTTTGGAGTATTACTAAAATGGCCGCCATTTTGACCGGAAGTAAACATCACCTAACCGAAAGTACACGAAATTAGCATGTTAAGGTCAAAACGACGACAAAATTGTTTGTTCTATGTTTTTAGCGGTTTGAATGAAAGAACGGGAGGTAAAAGCGGGATAAAAGGGAAGATGAAACTCACTCAAAGTAATTCATTTCGGTAGTGAATTTAAAGACAAATGTGAAACAATGATTCACATTTTTAAGCATAGGAAATGCCAAACATATGAGCAAATTAAACTAACAAAAAACAGATTATTTCTTTTTACTTGTTTTAACCCTTTAAGTCCCAATAGTGACCAACATCAATTTTCTTCTGACTCACAATATCCATACAAGGTCAAGAGATTAGGTTTTTTGAATTAATAAAATTATCACCCAAGAGAAAATGCTTTGATCTTTTATCAAATTCTCTCAACTTATCCTTTTAAGAAATGTATAGAGACCAGTTTGAAGAATTTGTAAGGGTTAAAAGAGTTGATCCACTATTAACTAGAATGTAGAAAGCTTTGCGGCTTTCAAAGTAATTTGAGGTAATAATAGCTCCACCATTTTGAGTTATTGAGGAACACTCTGTGTATGTACATATTGGATTGAAATTGCTTTCACAATAACGTCTGCTCATTTCAAAGTTTACCATTTTCAAGAAGCTTTCGAGAAATCCGTTTGGAAGGTAAATGGGTCCCCTACTCAGTCTACTCTTTACAGTGTTTAGGTTCTTTAACTTCCCACAGCATTTTATATGAACAAGGACCGTGAGAGGGGACCTACAGGTTTTTTTTAAATTCCAAGAATACTAGAAAGTCTAACCGTTTGTAGATGACATCGGGCAGCACTTCTCGTCAGTTATTTAAAGATCCTGATCGACAATTGGTCTGGCCGGGGTTTGAAACCGCGGATTCCCGCTCAGTAGACCGGTATTTTTATCCACCTGGAGCTAACCGGGCGGCGGTTTAATACAGCTGTATTTCACTGTCAAGTGAATCTGCGCCTCTCTCGACAGAAGTGAGAGTTCTAATCTTCAATGTAACCACCCCCAGAATGTTATTTAATTATCATGGACTGAGCAGCACTGATTATCATGTTAAAGTCCACATGCAAGAAAATAAGGAAAAAGTGTTTTCCGAATGTGCATCACTTACGTTAATCCCCTGAGTATGTAAAACGTATTCTCTTGGATATAGTATGTGACAAATATGTCGCGCCGAGAACAGCTTGAAGACTAAGATCTGGGGTAAAGTTGTGTATCAGGAACTATACTGAGAAACTGGAAAAAGCTAGTTCTTTTGTCAAGATCGAAACAACCAGGCGCTTTTTAGATTCCTTGCACATTGAGCAACGCATGTCGTCTAGGGCCGGATGTTCAGTCTTTTCCCTGCATCGTTTGAAGTCAATTCGCTAGAAAGCATTTATTGTTATGCTATATCACGATGCAGATTCTTTTCTTTTAAGTCTCTATGTTGTTTGTGTCCAAGACATTTTCGTTGAGTCCACTCTCCATTCTAACTACCCATGAAGCTTCTCTACTTTGAAGTCAAGTTAGCTTCCCTATCACATATTTTGGTACTAATGTACATCGACGCTACCTTTCAGTCTACGAGATTGCTAACGTATTTACTAAAAAGGCTGCACTTGCACTTCCTCCGTTCCATGCATTCACAGGATGTGACAAGGTGAATACTTCCGGTCATCTCCAGAAATAATCGCAGTTGTTTTCGCTTACTCGTTCTTCTATGCGATAGAAAAAGTGGTTCTTTACCGTCCACTGACGAAGCCAAAAGTAGTTTCTTTGACCCGGCCTGCAT